TCTGAGGTAGGATCTTGTTCTTATAGGGTCATCCTTCTTTCCAATGATCACATCCTCTGGGTGAGAGGCCTTGATTCTGGAAGACGATCCTCTAACAGTTGATTCTTCAGAAATATTCAAGTTCTTCATTTGAGAAGCTAAAGGAATTGCATCTGGCGTTGCTTCTGGCTCTTTTACTTGAACCTTTTCTGCCTCTGAGCCTTCAGAGTCTGTGAGAATTACTTTTCTATCTGCAGAACTTTCAAACTGCTTTGGCTTTTCAATGCCAACTTATCATCAAATCTAACATGTATAGATTCCTCCACAATCTGTGTTTCAGTATTGTATACTCTGTAGCCTTTAGAGCGTTCAGAATACCCAAGCATGAAACACTTCTATGCTTTAGAATCAAACTTGTTTAGATTCTCTTTAGTATTCAACATATAACAAATACATCCAAAATGATGAAAATAAGAAATGTTGGGCTTTCTGTTCCTCCACAATTCATAGGGAGTCTTTTTCAGAAGAGGTCTTACAGACACTCTGTTCTGAATATAATAGGCTGTGTTTATTGCTTCTGCCCAAAAGTGCTTTGCCAGATTAGTCTCGTTGATCATGGTTCTGACCATTTCTTGCAAAGTTCTATTTTTCCTCTCTACAACTCCATTATGTTGTGGATTTCTAGGGCAGGAGAAATCATAAGCAATGCCATTTTCATTAAAATATTTTTCAAAATATTTGTTTTCAAATTCGCCACCATGATCACTTCTGACTTTAACAATTTTAAAATCTTTTTCATTCTGGACTTGTTTGCAGAAGTCAAAGAACACAGAATCTGACTCATCCTTGTGTTTTAGGAATTTCACCCATTTCCATCTGCTATAGTCATCAACAATGACTAATTCATACTTCTTGCCTCTGATGGATGCAGTTTTCACTGGTCCAAACAGATCAATGTGAAGTAACTGTAATGGTCTTGAAGTTGAAACAACATTTTTTGTTTTAAAAGAAGATTTTGAAAATTTTCCTTTTTGACATGCTTCACAAAGAGCATCTGAGTTGAACTTCAACTTAGGAAGTCCTCTGACCAAATTAAGTTTATTAATCTGAGATATGTGTCTCATATTAATATGCCCCAATCTTCTGTGCTAGACCCATTGCTCATCATTAACAGACATAAGGCATTTAACATTTTGAACCTTAAGTTCTGAAAGATTGATTTTATAAATGTTTTTCTTCCTCTTTCCATTAAATAGGATTGAGCCATCCTTCTGACTAACAGCTTTGCAACATTTTTGATTAAAGATTATGTCATAACCATTGTCACTTAATTGACTTATGGACAATAGATTATGCTTTAATCCTTCTACAAGTAAAACATTAGATATAGAGGAAATGTTACAATTGCCAATAGTACCAGAGCCAATAATCTTGCCCTTCTGATTTCCTCCAAACTTCACGTCTCCTCCAGATTTAAGCTCCAGGCTTTGGAACATAAAACTTTCTCCCGTCATGTGACGTGAGCAGCCAGAGTCCAGGTACCATGACTGGCGTCTTGACTTTGCTGCTAAATACATTTGCAATAGGTATTATCTTATCCTTAGGTACCCAGATCTTTTTGGGTCCTTTTTTGTTAGTTGCTTTAAAAGTTTGTCTGAACTTCTGTCTTTTTACAACAGTTTTGTTCTGACTAACTTTTGGTTTAAACACAGGAACGTTCTGATCAGAACGTGTGTGTTTAATATCATTCAGATGACCAAACTTAAAATGAGAATATAAGGGAGTCTTCTTAATGATAAGTTTATCAACAGACATTGGATTTAAATCCTTTCCAGAGGAAGATTCATATCCAATTTCTTTCCTGTTGTTTATGCTAACTCCATAGATCATTGAAGCCATCTTGCTTCTATCTATGCTTTTAGCCAGAAACTTCTGAAAGCTGAAGTCATATTCTTCTAAAATATTTTTGCATTTTGACTTAGTTTCAGATTCAGAGTCTTGTTGAGCTTTTTCAAAATTGTTTTTCATTTTCAAATTATTTTCTTTGAGCTCAACAACTTCTGACTTTAACAGACTATTCTCAGATTCAAGATTGCATTTAAGCTTCTTGCATTTGAGTTTAATCTGGTTATAGTTTTTCAGGACTTCTGATAAAACTTTAATAAGTTCTTCCCTAGAGAGATCAGAAAGTACCTCTTCTGAGTCAGATTCAGATCCAGATGATCCTTCATCCTGATCTTCTACTCCAGCCATCAATGCCATGTTGGCGCATTCTTCTTCTGACTTTGATGAAGATTCAGATGCATCTGAATCATCCCATGTAGCCATCAGAACTTTCTTTTTATGCTCAGGCTTCCTTCTAGGCTTTTCCTTCTGAAGCTTTGGGCATTCATTCTTTGTAATGACCAGGTTCCTTGCATTCATAGCAAACAACCTCCTTCTTTCCAGATCTTTTGTGTATAGAGGACTCTTTGCGTTGATCTGCCTTCTTGAAGTTCTTGAACTTCCTCTGCTTGTGCTTCTAAAGTTTGTTGATTCTTCTGGAAAGCAAGGACAGTTCATCTTCTTCAGACGAAGAAGACTCTTCAGAACTTTCTTCTAACACCTGCAGCGCTTTAACATATTTGTTAGATTTTAAAGCAATTGACTTACCTTTCTTTTGAGGCTCGTCTTCTTCAAGTTCAATTTCATGGCTCCTTAGAGAGCTGATCAGTTCTTCCAATGTGATCTTGTTCAGATCCTTTGTTAGCTTCAGAGCAGTGACCATAAGTCTCCATCTGATAGGCAAGCTTCTGATGATCTTCTTCACATGATCAGTAGTTGAATAGCCTTTGTCCAGCACTTTTAGACCAGCTGTGAGGATTTGGAATCTAGAGAACATAGCTTCTATAGATTCAGATTCTTCCATTTTAAAGGCTTCATACTTCTGGATCAGCGCCAGAGCCTTGGTCTCTTTAACTTGTGAGTTCCTTTCGTGTGTCATCTTCAAAGACTCAAACAAATCAAATGCAGTTTCTCTGTTGGTGATCTTCTCATACTCAGTATGAGATATAACATTTAATAAGATTGTTCTAGCTTTGTAATGATTTCTGAACTCCTTCTTCTGGGCTTCAGTCATAGATTTTCTATCAATTTTCTTGTCATCCCCATCAGTGGGGTGAACATAACCATCAATGACTAAGTCCCATAGATCAACATCATAACCAAGAAAGAAACTCTCTATTCTGTCCTTCCAATAGTCAAACTTCTCCCCATCAAACATAGGGGATTTTGTGTTGATTCTATTCCTTTCTTCATATCTATTGTTGCTGTTAGATGTTGAAGCTTCGCCATAATATCAACCAAGAGTATATCAAAGTTTTCTCAACTGGATCTTTTCTGTTCACGGTGAAGTGATAGCACACACAGAACCAGAGCTCTAATGCCAACTGAAGGTGAGAAAATACTTAGAAGGGAGGGGGGGTGAATAAGGATTTTGAAAATATTATGGCAATAAAAATACAATGATTTTTATCCTGGTTCGTTGAACTCAACTAATCCAGTCCACCCTACCAAGAGTGATTTGTCTTTCTCTACAAGGACTTAATTCACTATAATCAAACTGATTACAATAACAATCACTAAGAACAACTGTTCTTAGTATTCTCAAGAACTACTGACCACAACTTGGTCTTCTTAAGGAACTTTTACAATCAAATGTAAAACTAAACAAGTGTTTAAATACTTCTAAGAAAGCTGTATCACAACTGTGATTTACACTTAAGTTTAAGAACTTATGAAATAAATTCAGCAAAGAATAATAATTCGTATGAGAGTTTTTCAATGAATTTTATCAATTTTCGTCAACGTTCGTCAACTGAAGAAAGTTGTTGAAGGCTTGCTTTTATAGACTTAGAAATCCAAGACGTTGCAAGCTTGAAGACCGTGTACTGCAAAGTAGCTGTAACAATTTGTCTTCACATCACTTGACATTTCCTAGAAGTAGAACGTTCAGAGAAATCCTTTTTGTCTGAGTTCTTGTGTCTAGCATAAAAGAGGAAAGAGTCGTTTGGTATAACCAACAGATATAACTTTGAATTCTTCTTCAACAAGTTTCTAATTCAGAGCAATTAACATCAGAGCCTTGAGTGATCAGAATCTTGATGTTCTTCAGAGTTTGTTGTATCAGAGTGTTGCAGCAAGTGTGCTTCAGCGTGAGATTAATCAGAGCAGAGTTTAGAGATCAGATCCTCAGTACTTGCAGGGTACAGTACTATCAGAGTCTTCTGAACAACAATGGTTGAAACTCTTCATACAAAGTCTTCAGTCTACGCTTCAGATGCTTCTGTAGCTTCTGCTTCAGATCCTTCTGTAGGCAGCGCTCAGAGTCTTCTGTAGGCCGCGCTCAGAGTCTTCTAAGAGATGCTTCTGACGCTTCAGAGCCTTGCGTAGTTCAACGTTCAGATCCATTTTTTGCTTTCAGAAGGATATTAAATTTAATATCTGCAGCAAAAATACTTGAACAAATTTAGAGTATATAATTTCTTAATACAAAATTTTGTAAGTGTTATCATCAAAACATAGAGATATAACTAAGAACCAATCTGTGTTCTAACATAAACAAATTCCAAATTATACAAGAGTGCTAATTATCTCTTGTGCAATTCGATCCTGCAATATTGTTAGACATAAAGTATTAGTTGTTTGTGATAGGACTGCTTGATCTCCATAGTCCATAGTTCATCTTGTAAGGATTAAAAACCAGTTGATTAGTTATTATTCTGTTTAGTGTTCCTTTCATATAGGATAGTTAGTTACATTTTATATTTGTATATAAACTATCTATTCTTCTTATCCATAATATGAAGAGATATAAGAATATAAATTAAGTTTCCATTTCCATATTTTACAGATAAGTATCATTTTGTAACAATTTATTCTGAATACCGGTCATCCAAATCGCCACAATGCAATGACAAAATTGTAGGGGTCAGCATTTTCCTACACACTGTTCTCTTCTCAGCATGATTAAAGCCTCAGAATTACAAAATTATGGGCTGTTCACCTTCCAGCTCAGAAATGACTATCAATGAGTCAGTTAATTCAAGAGAGAGGGGTTCTGACTTTGGATTCGGGTTGATTACCTGAAAATGAGAAAAAGTATGAGTAACATGTTCTAACCAATTACTATTATTCAAAGTTAACTTGAGTTGCAAGCAATTGTCATACATTCTTGTTCTTCTTCACATAACCTATGGCTACTTCTCTCCTTAAATACGCTCTCTCAGAAAGCTCGGAAAATGATGGATTCTCTCCTTCTTTCATGTAAAGGCTAATATCCTGTAGTAAGAAAGTCACAATGATTTATGAAATAACAATACATTCTTGAGATGACTTTATACAATCACACAACATGAGATGATTTTACCTTCAAATATATTTCATCGCCCTCTGCGTTTAGTATATCTTTCCAAACTTCGTTCAGTTCACTGTTCTCAGCAACTGATTTCAAGTTCAAAATATGAAATTTTACATTGATTCAAAAGAAAGGCCAAAACGATTAAAGATAAAGCTCAATCAAGAAGAGGAGAGAGACTGATGACCTTGAGCAGTTACAAGGCTCAATATTTCCTCGGCTGCAACGTAGGTCACCGATGGCTTGATTCTAGCAATCTGCAGCATTTTATGTATAATAATTACCATCATTCAAAAACATAACACAATCTAAAATTTGAGAGATCAAAATCAAATCCAAAACAAGAGACTTACTTGTTTTCCCAATTTTGAATCGACGATTTCAGCAACTAGATTTTGCACCTAAAAAAAGAGAATTTGATCAGATGGAGATTATCCTCTCTACTCATACGATAAACAACTGTTCTGTCTAAATATTCCAAAATAAACAAATTCCTATCATCATAAAATAAAAATCACCTTGACTCCAAGTTTGTCACAGATATTTTCAGCAAGTAGGATAGAATAAGCAGATAGCTTATCTGTTTTAGATGTATCTGCAAAGAAAAAAGTCAATAGCATGCGATTTTGTTACAAATTTTGTTTTGTAGGATTAATTACCCCCAAGAAGCCAATCTTTGTCGGATATGACAGCAACCGAGAAAGGAATATCTTTATTCTTCAAAGAAGTTTGAATATTCAAAATGGTTTCCTTTAAGGTGCCATAGTCCATGGGATTTCCGATCTATATAATACATCCAAATGAAGCAAATGATCATATATCAAAAGGAAAAACAAATTAAAATAAATTTAAGCACGTTAATTGATTGCATCAGACACTACCCTATGCGAAACTCGAACATTTTTGAGTTTGCTACGGCCAATGATGTTGGCTTCTCTAAGAATCCTGTCATTTAATGGCGTCTCTGATAAAACTTCCTGCATATTATTTATGGCCAGAAACCATAAGTGTTGAACTTCAAGTGAATGCACATATGCTGTCAAAAAAAAAGAACGAAAAGTGAATGCACATGTAATCTTGAAAAGTAACCCTACTCAATCTCCATGTCATGAATCTGCTGATGATTCAGAATTAAGATCATCCATACCAGATACAGAAGTATGGTAGGATATTGCCTTTTAGGTTAATGCGAAGGTAGCAAAACATAATAGAAGTATATTGTTATTGTTATTTTCATTATCGCTATTATTATTGCGCGTTCCAAGGGGAAGAATATTTAAGGTTTTTTATTAGTTTAAGTGTACACACAAAAATGTGTGGAAGAACAAAGACTTGATAGAATATAAACATACCAAAACACTTCCAGGACCAAGATAGTTATCATACTCTTGAATCATTTCTACAACATCAGGTCGCCACCCAAGTAAAAGAATGCATTCTTTTGGCCCCACATTCCCGTCTGATGCCTAAAAGGTGATAACTGATAAAGGTTAGAATTTCAAATAGAATCTGCATGATAACACTCGTTGAAAGGAAGCCATACCTTGGAGCCTGATCTGTTGGGACGTTTCACAATATTAGCAAGTCTTACTTTACTCAACTCGATGGCATATTCAAAATCCTTTTCAAGTAATTCATCATTATGAATTCCATCTTTTCCTTCTTTCACCTTCGGGATTACAACTTGTGGCCTTTTAGTATACTGAAGGGATCCAATGAACAATACCTAACAAGAAAAGCATATTGATATGAGAAGGTATGCTTGTAAACCATGTAATGTAATAAAATCCAAGATAGAAGGTAGAGAATATATGGTGTAAATGTGAATAAGTTAGCCATAAGTCAATATACTTTGTCAGTTTTCTGCAGAGTTTCGTAATCATTTGGATGGAAGTATATTTTCCCGCTCCGGTAAAGACCACATACAACAGCCTCTTGTAATATGTGTCGTATTTGTCTATATGTCATTCCTTCTAGATCAGGCAAGCTGCAAAGATTGAATACATTTTTTCGATAATTTAGCAAGTGCCGGTAGATCTTTATTAGTCCCTTCTGCCGAGAGCATTGAACAAATAATTTGGACGCAACATCTTCTACTGGCTCTACTTTCAATCCCGACATTGACTTTAACAAGTCACATGTTTGGGACCTTGAAACCTACATACATTAATTAAGAACATTTCATATAGTTTTGTTCCCTGCACTTTTTTTAAAATTTCACCTTTATTTCACATAAAGCTGCGCATGAGTAACAAACCTCAACAATGGTGGGAACAGAAGCCATCTCTGGAATTGATTGAAGGGCTAAAACAGATAGAAATGCATCCGTGTCAATCTCATACCTAGCATATAAATGATCTGAAATCAGTAAACCTTATCAAAGTGAACATTGTGTATCACTTTAGGAATGTAAATAGATCAACTCTAACCGATCTCCTTTAGTTGGAAGTATGATAATTGCACGTGCTTTGTTGGCTGCTGCTCTTTCAAATGACTTCGTTAAACTAAGAGAGCAACTGTAAAACCAGAAACTTCAAGTATGAGACATGAAAGAAAACAAGTTTCTAAATCAACTAAATATAGGATTATAGTTAACTGCTTTTTCTTTTACAAAACATATGACTGATCTAATTAATGGTCTAACCGAATCGACTAACCAAATCATAGTCCTTATTCTATTCTAATGATATATCCTAACTCGCTGAGCAGTTCTAAGCAAGGGGTAAAATGGTGTTTTTTTTTATAAAAGTCACTTCACAACAAAGAATACCTCTTGCTAAGGACATCAATATTATATAAATCTTTAGCAATATTATCGGCTATCCTATCAATCTGTTTTCTTGGAAGATCAGACATAAGAAGAATTCTCTGCTTCCTGCATAGAAATGAATGGTATATTACAGAAGTCAGCAATCAAAACACAAGATAAGGAAATTGGCAATTATCTCGTACGAAGTATTTACCTAGCAGCGGCAGTGCCTAGGCGAACAGAAAATTCGTGATACTTATCTAGCTGCTTTAGTATGAAAGGAAGATGACTATTCATCCCACAAATGATGATATGATCGGTCTCCAGAACTTGCATTTGTGCTCCTTCCCTGAGCCTTTGCATATTACTCTGTTGCGAAGATTCAATTGTTGACATACGCAGAAAATATTGATTAAGGAATTCTTAATCCTTCGGATCTTACCCTAAATTGTTCCGTCATGGTACTTAGAAGACGAGTGTAAAACAATATACCCCATATTGCAAGAAGAAAACCAATAACACGCTCAATACGGGTTGGTTGCTGCAGACCAACAAAATGTATGTCATTCAGCAAATGTTTATAAGCATAAGCCATTTAAAAGGACTCAATAAAAAAACCAGATTGTGAAGTCCAAAATAAGTCGAACATACTCTTAAGTGAGTAGATGATGAAAGAAGACATGCCCAGGCCTCCCAAAGACAATCTTCCAGAGATTGCTTATTGTTCCTGGATAATTTAATATTGGCCAAGATTAACTAATATATATATAAGCACGGCATCACTAAAATCAAGTACTGCTTTGCCATAATTTTAAGTCGAAATCAACTAGGTCGGTAGCAAAGAGAGCTCACGAAATGAGCCCATAACTCAATGATAACTAACTAAAGCAGAAAACAAGTAGAGGGGATAATTTGAGATGAGTCTAACACAACTCTATAAAACCGGCTTGTAAGGTGAACTTAACATAAACGGAGATCTCACAAGATAAGTTTACAAGGATCAACATCCTGCATGTGTTGCTCGAGGGGAGTTTTCAGGAAGGACTAGTTCATCGACTTCACGAGTTTTTATATGATTTGAGAAAATCTCCTAAGACATGGTTAGGCTGATTTAGCATTGTGATTTAACAATTTGGTGCGACTCAGAGTAAGGTTAACAAACGAGAAGAACAATCTCCACAAGTGTATTTATCTACGATTACCTGAACTTGAAGAACAAGAAACCTCCAATGGCAACAAACGAGATGCATGCTATAAGGAGCACCACAAAAAACCTGAAAGGTTTCAGACAACAAGAGTAGCTTAAAACCTATTAAATTAAATAACCAACAGAAAGAAAAGTTCTCATCCAAATATATAATGAAGCGATTAACTTACGTGGCAACATTTCTCTCGAGTTGTATGTTAAATAAGTACACCAACCGAGCTAAGTTCCATCTAATATCTTGAAAAGAAGGCAAGGACACATCTAACTTAAGAGGCGTAGGTTTATTCAAGGCATTCGAAACACAAGCAAACGACAAGCTTGTTCCACCAAAAGTCTGAGGCACATTTCGAACCATTGCTTGGACAACGTTTATCACCAGATCAACAAACTTCATATGCGTCAGTTTCAGTACCAAGAACAACGGCATGTATTCTATCACATGTTTAGCCTGTGGACGCTGCTGCAGCACATGCAACATTTCAAGAGATATAAAAACAATTAACACAGTAAAGTCTGAATCCAAAGAAAATAGAACATTTACTATATATACCATCAATGATTTTGTACATATATTCAAAATTTTCCACACATTTCTTACGTGAGAACTATGATTATTTTTCTCCGTCGAAATGAACTTGGCGCTGGAACTTTCTGGAACATGATTACTAGTGTTGGAATTGGACTTAAAAGCTAGTCTGTGAAAGTCGACCTCCCATCCCCCTACACGGTTTTCATCAATTAAACCATTAGTTTCAGGCCAGAACGTAGATTTAAATCAGTTCATGGAAATTACTTTGAATCAAACAATGAAGATCAACCATGTCGATGTAATGGTGAAGACTTGAGCCAACTGAAGTGACCGGGCATAAACCTCCTGTGAAGTATATCAAGAGAAATCAAAGACAGAAATGGTTCAAATGACAACGAACTCATTCAAAGTATAACAAACCTAATTCATCACTCGTATGGAATAATAGGTCAAAAACTCCATCTCAACAAATAAGATTGAAGATGAACAAAAAGTACCTGGAATTCTTGTTGATTGATGAAGATGGTGAAGAACAGTGTGCGCGCCTTGGAATCCATGGAAGACAGCTATGCACGTGGAACTGAGTACCGAGAAGAAACATGGTTTCTCTGGTCGTTGTGAAAAGTGGACAAAAAGTTTGTTACTATAATAATAGTTCAAATAATTTTTATGGGAATCCGAGTCAAAATCTAGAGACTAATCTAATATATAGTACCAAAATTGAAAATTCATTTCAGAAAAAACTAAACACCACACACTGTGTTACAGTGACAAAACTAGTAGTTACAAAAGCATGATGTCAGAACAAACTAAAAATTGTCATCACTTGAAAGCGTGACGGGTCCCTTTCAGGAATGGGACATTCTTAAGCACAATATAGCCCTAAACTCTTGTCTATTTCATATACTGTGGTGGGGCGGTGCCTTACTGGACCACGCTTATTTTTTTGGATTTTTTTTACCCCAGTGCCCCTTTTTGAAAAAAAAAATCTCAAAATACCCCATTTTGAAAATTATTTACCAATATGCCCCCTTTCTTGTATGGGCTCGTCCATTCATTGGACCAACACCCTAAGCCCACTACATGCTCGCCCAATGGAAGGACGAGCTAGTGGAGATTATTTAGCAAGCATGAGCTCGTCCATTGGAAGGACGAGCATGTGGTAGTTTTAATTTTTTTATTTTTTTTTTCTGAATTATATTTATGTATTATTGGATTTATTTATTTAAACATTTAATATTTATTTATTATAAGTAATAATAAAATAATAATATAAAATTTAATAAATAATAAAATTTTATTTTTTTTAATTCTTAATTTTATGTATATTTATTTTTTAATACATTTTTTAAAAAATAGTAATTTTATTATTTACAATTCATAAATAAATAAATAAAAAATGTATTAAAAAATAAATATACATAAAATTAAGAATTAAAAAAAATAAAATTTTATTATTTATTAAATTTTATATTATTATTTTATTATTACTTATAATAAATAAATATTAAATGTTTAAATAAATAAATCCAATAATACATAAATATAATTCAGAAAATAAAAAAAATAAAAAAATTAAAACTACCACATGCTCGTCCTTCCAATGGACGAGCTCATGCTTGCTAAATAATCTCCACTAGCTCGTCCTTCCATTGGGCGAGCATGTAGTGGGCTTAGGGTGTTGGTCCAATGAATGGACGAGCCCATACAAGAAAGGGGACATATTGGTAAATAATTTTCAAAATGGGGTATTTTGGGATTTTTTTTTTTCAAAAAGGGGCACTGGGGTAAAAAATCCTATTTTTTTGGTTCCTCTTTCATTTAACTCCTGTTTATTATCTATTTTCCCATGGCCTATTTTTATTCTATATTTTACAATTTCAAGAATTAGTTTAAGTAACTTCCAGATACAATAACCATTGTAAAATATACATACAATAACTAATTTTCTTTTTTTTATTAAATATAACCCGTTTTTACAAATAAAAATTTATAAGAGGATTCATGTTGCCAAAGTTTATGGAACTTACAATTCTTCTCACATTTCTTTTTTTCTCCTTTTTTTTGTCTTCTATATTATAGTTTATGGTTGCAATCTCTATCATCACTTTCGTTCTTCTTATGTCAGGGTATTTTAATCGATTGTTTTGATGTTTGAAATTTGTATATGTTTGTTCCATTTAGTTTCGAATATGTCTTATGTTTTTATAATTTTATTTTATTGACTTATTTTTTTTATTATGTATAATTTTTGTGACTGTGAATGCTATTCAAGTTGAGAGAGAAAAAGTCAAAGAGAAAGTTGTCTATGTAGAGAAATTGTCTCAACAACCCTTTTTAAATTTGATTTTGTGTCTTCTCGATTTTATTATTATTATTGATTTGTCATAAAGAGGAGAGAGGTTAATGAAATTAGAAAAAAAGAATGAATTGTGATCAAATGTTGAAACAGGTTGGAGATAAAAATGAGTTTAAATTTAAGAAAGAAGTGAGGGAGCACATATATCCAAAACAATAATGGGAATGTTATCACATAGAAATGCTACCACGTAGACAAGATAATGACACAATTCTGAAAAAGTCAAGGTCATAGGATACTTTTCTAAATGTAGTGACATAATTTTTCAAGTTGGGGGAGACACTCACCCTAAAATCAATTTTTTCATGTAAAATATTATTCAACTATGTATTTATCATTCTTTTTGTTTGCTTTCAGCTTTGTATATTCAAGAAAAATGGGAGAGAGTTTAACAAAGATACAGGAATGGCTAGGCGTTAGAAATTATTTTGCCAAAAAATAATTGTAACGAAACACTTGACATCTTATTTCACTCCACACACACACATATATATATATATATATATATATATATATATATATATATATATATATATATATATATATATATATATATATATATATATATATATATATATATATATATATATATATATATATATATATATATATATATATATAAATTTTAGTGGAGATTAATTGTGTACTTATTGGTCTACAAAATTTTAAAATTTGTTTCAAGGTGTTGATTTTCTTTCTAAGTTTCCACAATCATGTGTTTGCAACAATTATTCTTAAAATATATATATCTATCTTTATACCAATTTATAAATTAATAGATTATTTTTTTATTTTTTATTAAATAAATAAATATGGCATCCAATTCCGATTCAACTACCCATTAAAAATTAATTACAAAATTTAGTTATCGAATCAAACTAAATCACTTATTTTAAATATTGGCTTGATACTTATAGTTAGAATTTGTGCATTTGATGTCACTATTGCCTCTAATATGTTGAAAATGTGTTTATTTATTTCAATGATGTTCATGCTAATTTAAATTGCATTATGAATATTCAAAGTAATTGTAAAATTTTCAACAAATAATTTTGATATCTTACACGTTTTAGAATAATAAAAAAATATATAGGCAATTTTTTTTATTGGAAAAAGTTATTAAAATTAAGCATACTTTGATTTGTATAGGGCTAGGTTCACAAAATATTAGTTTTGTCACGAATTTCCTCCTTAAAGCATATGGCATTTGAAGAGCCGTATTCTCAACCAAACAATCACGGATATTATGATCAGTCTCTAGAAATCTTTTATCCTCAACTGATATTTTAAATGTATTAAACGAATTGTCATTATTTGTAAGAAGATATTTCCAATTAGTTGGACCTTTGACATGAGATAACAATAATCAGAAGGAAAACTTCTCTCCCTTCGAAGGTTATACTATATAGACTATTCCGATAAATGAGTGATTTGCCCATAACGTATGCGCACTAAAAAACATGCACACATTTTAAGACTACTCGAGGATATCTAAAAACATTATTTTTAATCCTAAGTATGTTAAAAACTTCATACAAAATATACACACGTTTATTTTTCTATGCTGTGCGCTTTAAAAAAAGCGGACAGATGGGCACGGGAGTGCTCGTCTGAACGCTAGTTTAAATAAAAAATATCTATTTATTTTTTGGTGTGTAAACGTATTAAAAAAAGTGAAAATAATTGATAAAAATTTAAGCTATACCATTTTTTTTTTACTTTATCTATAACAATATATAAATGCAATACATTGTTTTGGTGTAGCCTACTTTCTTTCCTCTTTTACCCTTTACAACTACTTAGAAGTTACACAAATAAAAATTAACTACTCCCTCCATTTTATATTTGAATATTGTACAAAGTAATTATTTATTTGAAAAGAAAACTCACTTTAACTTCTAATTAAAAACTATATTTAAATAACTTCTCCTTATAAGTTATGTCTTTCATTTCTAACTCATTGGGTTCATAGAAGTAAAAAATAGAGATGAAGAAAGATTGCATGAGAAAAATTGGAATCCAGACAATATTCATCTATAACAATATATAAAGGCAATACATTGTTTTGGTGTAGCCTATTTTCTTTCCTCTTTTACCCTTTAAAACTACTTAGAAGTTAAACAAATAAAAATTAACTACTCCCTCAATTTTATATTTGAATATTGTACAAAGTAATTATTTATTTGAAAAGAAAACTCACTTTAACTTCTACTTAAAAACTATATTTAAATAACTTCTCCTTATAAGTTATGTCTTTCATTTCTAACTCATTGGGTCCATAGAAGTAAAAAATAGAGAAGAAGAAAGACTGCATGAGGAAAATTGGAATTCAGACAATGTTCATGATGGTGGTAGAAAAGAGAAATCTACAATTTGCAGATGTCATAATATGGATTGTGAATCACGCAATGATTTCTGTTAGAATTAATTATTAGGGCATTTAGATTCTTCAATCTAATTTTTTGATTTGTTTTTTTATTTATTTTCATTTACTATTTTGTTCTTTTTAGATAAACAAATCCGCATGTGAAATTGGGGTTTGAAAATTGAGATTATTGAATTTTTTTAATGTCTAATACTTTAATTTTTCTCTCTATTGTAGAAGAAAAATGAATCATTATCTCTTACGAAAGAAAAAAAGTGTGTTCTAATTTCTAGATCAAATAACAATGACTATTTTTATTAAATTTTTTAAATTTTGGTTTCCTCTCTTGAATCTTTATCTATTATTGTTTCAATTTTACCTGTGTAATTTGCAAAAATTTTAAAATATAAACAATATCTCAATTTTTACCCATGTGTTGGATGAGAGAGATGTTTGTACCCATATGTATTGGGATGATAATTATGTGCTTGAGCATGTACCTTGTAACACCCCACTTCTATACCCCCAAATAACACAATTAAATCATTTAGGCACGAATTAAAAATTCCATCAGAGTATATTTATTTCATGTTATAAAAGAAGTGCGTCACATTACTCACGAAACGACCACGTGAATATTAATGTTTATAAAGAAATAATTCAAAAGGGGTAAATCTCAACTAAAAAGAAATAAACGCATGGTTCTTAAAATAAGCATATTCATGTTTTCTGTTAAAGCAGAAGACTAAAACATTGAATTACTTAAGACATGATAAAATACAAGTACACGCCATTAGGTTGTCCATAACATCAATCACAGTTTACCAAACATCATCAACTATTACATATATAATGTATCACAAAGATACTCTACAAG